CATCGATTTTTCAAAAATTTTGAAGATGCTAATTGTACTGATTGTATATATATATATATATATAATTTAGTTGATGAGAATTCAACAATACGAGGAGAATTTAAATACATATAGGTCCGGCAATAGCAGTCATTGGGTTGATGGAAGGATGAAGAACTATTACGACTAACTGACCAGTGGTATTCCTGACATCTATTGAAAAACTTTACGAACTTATCGCGCAACCCATTTTTAGTCACTCCTTGCCGTAAATAATGCATAGGGCAAAGTGTCAACTAATACGAAAAGGAAGAAAGTCGGTATAAAGAAGATGGTTATTATTTACATGAGATTCTGAAAACAATCCAAGACGCTGAATCTCACCGTAAACGAATCATTCGAATTAAGATTAGGCTAATCGACTCTGTGGAGTGAAAAGCCAAGAAACGTGATGTCATGAAAATCAATCTACTAAAATTCTCCAGGATTTTATGAATAGATACGAGTTTTTTATAGTGAACAATACAGGAGCTAGATTTTAGAAGCATTAGATTTTCTACTTTGTGAAGTAAATTTTAGGTAAACAAGGTGTTCTACTTTATGTAGTAGATTTTAGAACAATTAGATTTTCTACTTTATGTAATAGATTTTAGAGCGATTAAATTTTCTATTTTGTGTAGTAGATTTTAGATGAATAATGTTTTCTACTTTGTGAAGCGGATTTTTCACTTTATCGAATAAATTTTAAATGAAGGATATTTTCTACTTCGTGAAATAGATTTTCTACTTTATCCAGTAAATTGTAGATAAACGAGATTTTCTACTTTGCGAAGTAGATTTTACATAAAGCAGGTTTTCTAGCAAATCTTTCTTTGCAAAGTAGATTTTACATAAAGGAGATTTTTCACTTTGCGAAATAGATTTTAGGTAAAAGAGATTTTCTACTTTGCGAGGTAGATGTTAGATGAAGGAGATTTTCTACTTTGTGGAGTAGATTTTGAATAAAGGAGTTTTTCTACTGTGTCAAGCAGATTTCAGAAATATTAAATTTTCTGCTTCGTGAAGTAGATTCCAGATATAAATGAAGTGTTCTACTTTGTATAGTAGATTTTTTCTAATTTGTCGAATAAATTTTATATAAAAGAGATTTTTCACTTTACAAAGTAGATTTTAGATAAAGAAAATTTCCTACTTTGTGAAATAGATTTTAGATGAAGTAGTTTTTCTACTGTGTGAAACAGATTTTCTATTCTATGAAGTAGTGTTTAAATATACTAGATTTTCTACTGTTTAAAGTAGATTTCAGAGAGACTAGATTTTCTACTTTGTAAAGTAAATTTTAGATAGTCGAATCGTTCTAGTATAAATTTTAGAACGATTAGATTGTCTATATTGTGAAGTTGATAGATGATAGATTAGATTTTCTACTTTGTCGCCTAGATTTTAATTAAATGAGGTGTTCTACTTTGTGTCGGTAGATTTTAAAGCGATTGGATTCTCTTCGTTATGATGTAGATTTCGGATAGGTTAAATTTCCTACTGTGTTAAGTAAATTTTAGATGGAGGAGATATTCTACTTTGTATAGTAAATATTAGATAAATGATGTGTGTTCTACTTTGTGAAGCAGATTTCAAATGGAGCCGATTTTTTACTGTGTAAAATAAATTTTAGGTAAATTAGATTTTCTAGCTACATTTTAGGTAGAAGATTTTCTACTTTGTGAAGTTAATTGATTTTGCAAACTCAAATGTGATGTTGCAAGAAAATTTATAAATAAATGCTAGTCGAATTTTGAGATAATCTTCTGTTTTGGAAACACGATTACATTTGCCTTCGCAGAATTCCTTTCCAATATTCTGTCTTTCATGGGAAATGATTTTTCTGTTGTGCTTTACATTAGATTGATATAACATATGTTGTGCCTAAAATTTGATTCCACACACGGTACATGTATTGTTATATTTCAATATTGTATACGTATCTTTCATTCTTCTATACTTTCCAATATCTCAAGTCTATTCCTCACGATTGCAATGTTTTTTTCGTACCTTATGCAAAATGTACAGATAACTCCTAAATTATTGTTCACATTCGCTGAATATTGAATAAACTACTGATTCACGATTTTGCATAATAACGACTACAAGTCAATACCAGTTACAAATACACAACCAATGTAGTTCGATTATTAAGTGTTTGTTTATTTTGTTCAGTCGCGTTGTTCCATTTGTGATAACCATGAAAAATTGTATCCACCATGATCTTTATATGATTTATAATATCGATATAAATATATAAGCAGAATCGCATTTTTATGATAAAAACATATTTTCATTTTAGTCTGCACTTCAATTATTAAGTAGTCTCTCTGATTCGGCTAATTGCAAAATTAATAATTTTCCTTTTTGCACACTTTGTTACGGTTTTAGTGTCGCATATTATTATTGATATTTAAACGAAAACTTACAAAATATCATATATGTATATTTCTATTTTTTATGATTTCTAATATAGAAATATAAAAATATGATAATATGTGTAAAATTTTGTTTTAGATATACTGGATGACTCAGCTAAAAGAGACCACCTGCAGCACTGTCAATAATTATAAAATCAACGTAAATAAAGAAAAAAACTATATCTGTATATTTCTATATTAGAAATAATAGAAGAAAATAGAAATGTACAAATATGATATATCATTAAGTTTTTATTTAAATATCGCTGAAAGTGTAAAAGTTACATTGAATCTATAATTATCCGTACCACCGTATTCTTCATAATTCTAAAATTGTTCCTGAAAAAAACCTTCACCAGTCACGTAAATATTACATTGTCCCCGAAACTCATATCATTTTCAACTCATTCAAATTTATAACAATCTTCGGAGCAGACGAACGTCACCGTTAAATAAGCGAACCCTTAGAAATCAATGAAACATTAACAAAATAATATAATAATGTTATTTTTATAATTATCCCTATTGGAAACCATCGTCGAATGCGCGCTCACAAATATTCTCGGTTCGTGTCATCGAACAAACTAGTAGCTATTTCCCAAGTTCGAATTTCGCGAGCGAGTTGCATCCCGAAATGCGAAAGGTTTCTTTCAAAACGATGCCCATTTTTTGTTCCCTCGGCTTTTTTATTGATTTTAGTTCACGCGTTGCCTGCACTCGTACATATTAAATATGTTGTACCACGGTTCGTGCGAATAATTGCAACAGGAGTCGGGATATCCTGGTCGCCGTCGAGAAACTTTTTCCGAAGTACACCCCCTTTCAAAAGTATTAAGACACACACACACACCTGCTTGTATAGTATAAATTGTTAATATTCCATTATTCGGTTTAGGTAATGCTTGCGAGTCTGCAATACGGCATATTAGGTTATATGCGTTTGTCACTTGTGCAATTAGTTAATTGCAATTTGTTATCCTCGCTCGGTACGACACGCATCGATTCCTAATATGTCTCCTTAATACTACAAAATGCATGGAACCGAAGTGTATCAGTAACACTAGAAAAAAACAATTAAAACGGATACCGAAATTGGTCCAAGAAGCAATTAATAAACGCGGTGGATATATCGACGAGAAGGAAATTCAATCTTCTCTTAAAACGTTGCAGTATTTGTTACAGTTCAATGTGAAAAAATTAAATAATTATATACTTATAAATTATATTTATAATATATTATACGTTATAAATTATATTATATACATTATAAGTAATATTCATTAAAAAATTATAACAATTTCATATCGAACTTTCATATTTATCTAATTTTCCGTAAGTTTCATAATACTTTTAGAGGGGGCTGTATTACATCGATGGAAGTAAATATCACTGTGTTGAAAAAAATTTCAGTACTATTCCCCGAACGCTGATTGGCAATTGGGCCGAACTTGGAATTACAACGTTCGGCACGTTTCTTTGATAAAATTCGCAACAACTGCTTCGCGATCGGCGCATCAGGGTGGCACCTTAATGAAAACGGCTGTTGAGGCTCAACCATTGGGAACACCGACTATAGTTAATCGCAATGGCTTCCGACGTTGCGTGTCGTTTGTTATTCAAAAGCCGTGGTTCTGCCAGCGATAAATAAATTCTTTCGTTCGCCGAAAGCTACGTAGCCATAGTTCGATGAAAATAAACTGCGAAATTTCGGAAATATCGAGGAAGCACGGCTGTTATCGGAATAGGATCGCGCGAAAGACCTGAGTCAATAACACTGCCCTATCTCTACCGCTCACCGACAGCACATTTAGCGCCTAATCTTCGACACGAATATCATAACAGGGTGAAATATGAACTAGCTACTCGAAACAGGAGAGCTTGTACACGGTGGTTTTCGTAAAAATCTGCTCGCACGAGTGATCTAACTCCGTAGGATCGTCCAATTCGCTGCTGACGATGCCATATTCAGCTTCCCTGTCACGGCAGTGACAGGTCAAGCGACGAAGTCTCAGCTGCGAACCGCCAAATTAGATTCCGAAAACCGAAAAATAGACAACATCTGGTCTATCCCCAGTCGACGAATGTCCAAAACCACATGGTCGTCAATCCTGATGCACGGAGAATCAGCCATGATTCACTGTATACCCGAAGGTTGACTCATCCGCTATAGTCCGTACCAAACAACACCCACAAAAAACTATACCTACACGAATGATTTTAAGATCGGAGACCTGGACGAGAGGAAATCAGCGATTTACCGTAGAACCAGCCTGCTTCGAGGGACCGTGTCGAAGGTTCGGCACTGTTAACAGCTGTGCAGGGACATCGGCGAGAGTGTCCGATCAAGATCAGTCGTCTGTGCGAGGATAACAGGCTGCCGAGCGACAAGGGAGCTAAGAGACGTGTTAAAACGTCGCGTAAACGACGTGGAAACCGAGGATCGTTGCATCGCAATCGTGGCAGGCGTGAATTTCAAAGCGCTCTAGAATCGTCTAGGAGATCGAAAACGAAACGTCCGCGGATTCGGCTCGCTAGTCGGGGCTTAAACGGGTCTCCACTCACCGGTACCGACGGGAGATATAACGGGTCCATCCTCTGTCACTCCTCCGACCATGTTCGGCCACGTTTCTCCTTGTACTCGAACGTTTTTAGTCGCGTAAGTCACTCGGCCACGGCGTACTGAACGAATATTTACGGTGTGCGGACCGTTCGTGGTATTCTGAGGCGACCATCGGGCGAAATGCTCGATCAATAGTAACGGGCCGAGCTTGCGCGGAATATGCCCCGCTCGCGTCGGCGAACGAGCCGACGATCGCACGACCGCCGACGAATGCCGACGACCGCGACGCCGACGGCGACGACGACGACGGCGACACCGGGAACAATGCTCGGGCCGCGCGCGAGCCAGTGCACGCGTGGGCGAATGGAACCGCTCGGGCTCTTGCTCGCCCACAGGTAACAAGGAGATCGCGGCGCAGGTGACGATGCACTTCGCTGCTAGGTGCATCCACCTAGGGGGAATCGATGCGATATCGATTCGGTCTCTCGGATGCCGACGCGACGCACAGTGATGCGATCTTATGGGCGTTCGGAATAATGATCATAATTTCTAAACTAATTAATTTTCGGCCTAAGTACGTTGATAATTTTTTAAAGGGAATACAAAGATAAATCGATTTGTACGTAAATAATAGTCTGTTACGTCAAGAAAATTGCAACGATTTCGTCTTTTTGTTGAATAAAAAATTCTTTTATCAACATTTAGTATTGTAATTTTTTAGAAACTGTTTACTGACTAATTTTTATTCGAAACATTTTTTATTAAGAATTACTGGATGTCGGGTAACATACATTCTAATACATACGTAACCGACATTTATTTCAATGTAACAGGGTAATAAATAATAAGAAATTCTGTACAAAAATATTTGCAAAAATCAAACATCAATAACATATTCTTTATAAGATCTTTACAAGAGTATTCAGTCTGGAAGCTTCTCGAATATGCTTTAATCTATTGTTAATATCCACATATAGAAGGTTGCAAAATTTTTCTAAATCTTTGTAAACTTCTTCTGCGCAATCGTTTAAATGGAATATGTTCTGAATGGAACGAAACACATCCATTTTTTATCATTGGGTGGCCAACGAACCCATTTCTCAGGAATAACCCAATTTGTTCTCGCACTATTAAAAACCATAATTAGAATTACAAATGCAGACCACTGCAAGGAAATTTTGTAGAATAATGTCAAGGACAGTTCATGGAATAGTTTTCCGTTGAGATCCCAGAACATGTTTTGTCTGTTGGGAGAAAAATTAAGTTAAAGATAATCAAACGTATACAGGGTGTCCCAAAAATGTCTCGCAATCCAGAAATAGGGGATTCCTGAGACCATTTGAAGTAACTTTTTCCTTAGCGCAAATGCAATCCGTGGCTTTGTTTACGAGTTATTAACGAAATACACTGACCAAGGAGAGGTGAGCTCGGCGGCCAAACCAATGAGCGGACGACGCCCAGTTCTGCTCATTGGCTAGGCCGCCTCGCGGCAGCTGATCTCGCCTCTCATTGGTCAGTGTTTTTCGTTAATAACTCGTAAACAAAACCGCGAGTTGCATTTGCGCTAAGGAAAAAGTTATTTCAAATGATCTCAGGAATCCCTCAATTCCTCGAAGTAACATAATTTTGGTACACCCTGTATGTGCTTTCTACCAAATGTGTCTGGAATTAATCTTTTATTAATATTTTTAACATTCTGTACATAAATATGATTATTTAGACATTTCAACATAGTATAAACATTGTTTTGAATCAATATGAAGCAGTGATTTTTTCAATTTTTGTTTCTGGTTCCGTGCACTGTGCGATGTTGCCACGTACAATGGTACCGTTTCCTTAAAAAGTTGATCACAATTCATAATTTTCGTATGAATTTAACGAAAATTTACTTTTTGGAATTGCTGGATTTGAACATGTTGTCGAAAATGCAATATTCAGAATTGAAAATATCATTTAGAAGTACAACGTGTTATAATGTCGACAGTGACCTGGAAAACCGTTTTTCTTAAATAAAATTGAATTTTTGAAGCTTTACAATTTGCAAAAATGTATTATGCGTCAATTATTATCCTTCGAAACTTCAAAATACAAAGTATTAGCCATTTTAGATGTGTATTTAATAGTCTAGTAGTTATCTATACTTAATAGTTATATTCTATGACTGCATTTTTATTTATAAATGTTGGTAAACGATTAATTTCATTTCCTATTCTGTGTTAAGCTAGCATTGTTTGTAAAAAATGAAAAAATTCGGCATAAATATGTGATTTAGATCAAAAAGATTACGAGTGCTTTTTGTGGTACCTTTGTGGTACCGACGCACAGTGGTACCTTGGTGGTACCTTTGTGGTACCGACGCACAGTGGTACCTTGGTGGTACCTTTGTGGTACCGCAGCACGAGGCTTTGACAGAAGGACGGGACGGACTCGAGCCGCGTTCGAAGTATTGAACAAGTCACAAGGCGAGAACTTTCCGGATTTGTTTTACTACATAAAACAGTGATATTTGTAAGAAAAACGACCTTGTACAACGTACAGCTGATCTTTCACTGCACTGTTATCAAACACTGATCACTTAATTAATCACTGATAATCCGAAACATTTG